AAAAAATGTCTATAATTTGATAACGTATTTTCTATTTTTGCATACATATATATATATATATATATGTGTGTGTGTGTGTGTGCAACATTGCATGCGGTAGTTATAATAAAAATAATGAGGAATCAGTAATAAATGTAGGCAATTGTATGTTTGACTCAATGCTAAAAACTAATGAGTTATACCGTAATAATGTCCGTAAGGTGTATCATGTTTTTCATATCATTTCTATATAATATATAACTATATTTATATTATAACTATTTTATACTCTTTCTTATTAGATTTTTCTTCGCTTTGCTATAACAAAATGATTTAATTTTTTGTAAAATGAATTCAATAAAAATTCATAAAGACAACAATTGTATTTATTTTCTTACAATTAGTTATTTCAAGATATTAAACTATTATTTGATTTCTTACTTCTTAAATTAATTACATGAATTTTTGATATATTACAATGTACAATAAATGGTTAATGCTTTTTCAGTATATCGCAAATTTAATAAACTGCTCCAGCTTATCTTTGTTTTTTCATTATGGATATTGGCAAATATTAATACAATTTTTTATTATATATGGTAATGCATTGTTCAAATATAACTTGTTTTTTTTGGGCGGGTAGTTTCAGCCCGACGGATCACAAATTGGCAACTTGCAGTGATGATGGAACTGTCAGAATTTGGGATTTTCTTCGCTGTCACGAGGAACGAATTCTCAGAGGTATATATATCTTTGATCTTATAAATATTATATGAAATTTATCTTTTTCTTTGGTTATTACTTAAATAGCTTAGTTTTGACATGTATATATTTTTTACAATATTTCTTACAAATTACATATTTATCATGTACATATATAAGTGTGTGTGTGTGTGTGTGTGTATAAATTAACATATATATATATACATGATAATCTGCTTTCTTAAAATAGAATTTTTATTCTATTATTAAAAACAAATGATGATTTTTTTTCGAAATTTTACATTATTCTATTTTATGTTTTTTTAGCAAATAAAAAATCTCACACACACACACACACACACACACACACACACACACACATTAAACACAATATTTCATAGTATTTTTTCTACAGGTCATGGTGCGGATGTCAAATGTGTACATTGGCATCCACAAAAGAGTCTAGTCATTTCTGGCAGTAAAGACAATCAGCAACCAGTGAAACTTTGGGATCCGAAAACTGGTCAGTCTTTGGCAACTCTTCATGCACATAAATCTACCGTGATGGATGTCAAGTGGAATGAAAACGGTAACTGGTTGGTAACTGCATCAAGAGATCATCTCTTAAAACTTTTCGACCTCAGGAATCTTAGTCAAGAAGTTCAGACTTTTCGTGGCCATAAAAAAGAAGCGTCTAGTGTTGCGTGGCATCCAAGTCACGAAGGTCTTTTTTGTAGTGGTGGTAGTGATGGCGCCATACTCTTCTGGCATGTTGGGTACATATTGTTCTTGCCTAATTAACATAATTACTTTTGATTTTACTTATATGATTGCTATTTTTCTTAATATTGAATTGATTACAGTTAACTTTTTGAATTTCAGAGCGGATAAGGAAGTGGGAGCGATAGAACAAGCGCACGATAGCATAGTTTGGACATTAGCTTGGCATCCATTGGGACATATCTTATGTTCTGGTAGTAACGATCACACGTCTAAATTTTGGACGCGTAACAGACCGGGAGATCTGATGAGAGATAAATACAATCTCAATACGTTACCGGCAGGTTCGGCCGGTATCGATGACCACGAAATTGGTACTGAATATTTCCTAAAATTATTTCAATGATATGATATAATATTTAATATATCTTTTATTTTCTCTTTCTTTCTTTTTAATATTTTATCTCGCTTCATTTGTCTTAGCTGATGAAGCAGCGGTGATACCTGGTATGGGACCAGAGGATAGAATCAATGCAGATTGTGAATCTGAAGAGAAAAATGGTGGAATCCCCGGTCTGGATTTAGATCACGCTGTGGACGAGGGCAAGAAATTCGCCAATAAGAAAGTTCCGTACAGTAAACCGATACCGCGAAATTTCCAAGCACAGTGGAACGAAATAGAGGGCGAAGATGAGCAAGTCGAATTAGTTAATCAGTTCGTCAATCAATTAATAGAGACAACGCCAGGTGCTGTGCCACTAAATGAAGTTACGCCCAACGCCATTATATTATATGGAAAAATGATTCCAGTGGAATGTAAGCAATATATATATCAGTAAAATAAGTGTAATCAGTCTTAAAGCATATTAATTTTAAAAAATACGCAGTTATATATAGTTATTGAACTTAGTTGCATATTTCAGCTGGATCCAAACTGGCACAGGCAATCAGTAAAGGAACCGATGCCATAAACAAATTAGTATTTTCTGGTGAAGTAGAAGAATTACGGGAGTTGGTATGTCCACAGGCTGATATGGAAGTCGAAGAATATCTGCTGGATGATAAAGAGATCGATTTTTCTAAAGTGCCCAACGTAAATTTGCCGCCACCTTTGCCTAGTTCCAAATTCGCACAGAATCCGGAGCTGCTGAAATCGCTGAATCGCGGCGGCAAGCGTAAGTTCGATCAGCTGATCGGCTGGAGCGATGGTGGAGCTAGTGATCGTATATCTAAGATGCATCAGCCGGTCTTCAGTGGTGTGATTACGGAGGATTCGCAGTCCAACGACACTGATTTGAGATTTAGCAAGTCAAATCTCGCCGCGGAGAGCAATTCTTTCCATAGCGGGCAGGATGAAGATCATAGAAGGAGCGGTCTTCACGATCTATCGAGAAGTAATCGTGGTGATGAAGATCTCAGATTCAACATGTCTACCGGTCCTGGTAGACCCAGTTCAGTCAACGAATTCGATTCACGCGGCAACAATTTCGCGGATAAAGATTTTCGTAATTTCCTGTCATCCAAGTCTTTGGATGATGATGATTATGACGAACGGGAACATGATAACGCCAGCGGCCGCTGGGACGACGAGGAGGCCGATGGATCGCGTGGTAAATTGGACAGTACATTCGGCAACAATTTTGACAAACGCGACAACGGTGTAACAATGGGCATGAGTAACAATTTGCATGGTCCTATGGCTGGTATACCGCATCTGCCGAATCATCATAACATGCAAAATATTAATCCCAACATGCCGCCACCGATACCAAGCCTAGTGCCGCATCCCAACATGTCACAGCATCCTAGCATGCAGGGTAAACCGCCGCATCCTGGTATGCCCGGTATAGATGGCCCAATGCCACCCCATATGATGCCGCCCCACCCAAATATGCATCCGGGTTTTGGACCTAATGGACCGCCGCCCGGTGGTTTCGGACCCAATTTTCGACCACCACCACCGAATAGCAATTTCGGCCCAAATCATTTTAGACCAAATCCGATGCTGCCATTCGGACCGAATCAGGGCCCGCCGCCATTTGGCAATAATTTTCAGGGACCGCCCAACTTTCGTGGGCCAAATGTCGCTCCGATAAATTTCGACCGACCAAGTTTTGGACCTAATTTCCGCGGTCAAACTCCACAGGGTCAGTTGAACAATTTTAATTCCAACTTTGGCAACTTTGGCAAAAACGGTCCCAATCGCGGCATAAGTCGTGGTGGTAGCGATATGGGCAGGGGCGGCTATAATAATCGCGGCAGAGGACGTGACAACGATCAATCGAGAGGAGGGAGGGGAAGAGACAATTATTGAAGAGATTTCTCAGAACAATATGCGTGATTATCGACAATGTTCTTATGCCTCGATATAAACTGTCTTGCATGAACTGTTCAGTGAAACTTTGACTCAGTATATAAGATAATGTGCCGGTGTCCTCGAATGAGTGAATGTCCTGTTACTCATATGGTATTTATGAAGTATATATATATAGATATATAAGATATATATGTA